GTATTGTATTAAGTTGTAAAGTCAATTATGAGTGAATCTGTATATTTTTTTTGAAAAATATTTATTTATTTTGAGAGCTCTCCATTGTAACAAGTTTTTATTATATCATTTTATGGTTAGTTTTATTAAAATGGTTGCCTTAAAGTCAGAGAAGTAGAAGAGAAAAAGTTGGTCAGCCACTCCGGTAGTTCTGTGTGGCATCTAGATCGGGTGACTATGTGTCGTACTGGTCTAGCGTGTTACATGTTACTTACCGCATTTTATGGTTGGATTGGGGGCCGAGAACCAATTATTTTAGTTAATCAAAGAGATTCTAATTTCTTGGGCACACAAATGCCTAAAGATATATTAAATTTATGTTGTTAGAAGACCAATCCAAAAGAAGAGAAGGAAAATATTACTCGTATTAGATAAAAAAAGTGAAACAAAACCATCAAATAAAGTGGCTTTGTCAAAAAGGAATCTTTGGCATGTTTTATCTTACAATTATAGGATAAGGTCAAGCACACTTGATGGATCATTTTTGAATTAATTTGATTGCTCATTCTTCGCATTTGCACCTTCTTTCCTAAAAGAGAATGAGAAGGAATAATGACAAAAGATATATATAATTTCAGAATAAGTACAGTCAAGGATAAAATTGCTTTGAGTTTGGTTTAACAGCAAATACAAACTCATGAATTATAAGAAAAACGAACTTTTTTCCCTTCATATTCCTTCTTTTCGCAAATTTAATATTAATTGGTGTTTATTCAATTAAAATAATAATACAATTCTTCTAATACGGCTAGTCGACAGTTAAGAGCGCTAATCATATTACTAAAATGACAATGTTTAATATATATATAGGGTTGTAAATGAAACGAGATAGATCGCGAGCTACTCGAGATCGACTCGATCAAGGCTCGATAAATACTCGGATCGAATGGACTCGACTCGAGCTCGAGCTCGACTCGAGTTCTTAACGAGCCGAAACGAGCTACTCGATATTCGACTCGAAAAGCTCGTGAGCAGCTCGAAAAAAATTTATATTATAATTTTAGATTTTTAAAATTACATTATAAAAAATTTATTAAAAATACATTATTGATAATTATAAAATTTTAAAAATATATTAAAAATTCTATAATACAACTATCCTCAAATTTTAATTTTTTTAATTAAGCAACCCAAGTCCAATTGTTACATTGTATATTACTAAAAGAAAAAATAAAAGTCCATTTAATTAATCACATGTTAGATTACACCCTAAACCTAAACCCTAAATTCTAAACTCTAAACCCTAAATCTCAAACCCTTAAACCCTAAACCATAGCCCTAAGCACTAAACCCTTAATCTGATTATGTGATAGGATACTAAAAGAAAAATAAAAGTCTATTTAATTAAGCACATGTTAGATTACACCCTAAACCTTAAAACCCTAAACCTTAAGCCTTAAGCCCTAAACCTTAAACTCTAAACCCTTAATCTAATTCTGTGATAGAGGTTAAGTTATGCACATGATAATAGTGCATTACATACAGTGATGGATTGGATCTTGATAAAAAAAAATTGGGGACATACTTAATATTTTTTAAAAATTTTAGAAATATAAATTAGATTTTTTACAAAATTTTAGTCTTTATGAGATTTAAAAAACTTAAAAGGGGATTTAATTAAAAATATTTAAATTTTTTAACTTTAATGAGAATTTTAAAAGGAACAAGCTGCCCTTTTCGGAAGATAGAATGTTATATAGTTAGGGACATAAAAAAATCAGTACCCAACGGATTTGATCCGATCTAATAAGATCAAATTTTTTTATTTAAAATTTGGACTTCGGGTTGGATCAAGTTAAAGTTTAAGAAAAACTGTATTACTCTATGATAATTATGAAAAAAAATACTTCTTTATGTATTAATATATTACTAGTTGTATAGCATATTTGAAAATCCACCTTAGCTACATCAACATGTATAGCATCAATTTCTTCTTGAAAATCCAACCACCCACCAGAGGAACAATGAGCTTCTTCATCATCAATTTCCCTCTCTCTTTTCCCTGCAAAATACCCTTGTTTTCACCTATACTCAGTATCTGAGACAACGTCGGGTTATTCTTCTTTCGTTTCATCAACTCATTTCTTCTCGCTTCTTCACTCGCTATATCTTCTCCCTTCCCCATCTCCAAACTCACCGTCCTCGGCATCGGCGTAGTCTCCGCCGCCTTTTTAACTGCAGCAGCCTCGGCTATAGCCAACTTCGACATGCTCTTATGGAGTTCAATGTTTAATGAAGCCAACGCAATCTCTGTTTCGAATTCCCTTTCCTTCAGCAGCTTCAGCTCCGCCTTTGTTTCCTCGAGATCGGTCTCGAGCTTCTTTAAGGTATCGATAACCTCTTGGTGATGGGTATTATTCTCTCATTGATCGTCTTCTTTACGACAGGACTTTGTTGGTGGCTGATCCGAGAAGGTGGGAACACAAGAAGTACGGTGGAAGAGGTGCCATGGCAAGGTTCCAGAAGAGTTACCGTTGAAGAACTTTTCTGGTTTGTTTGGGAAGCTTAGTTTTGTTGCGTTTAAGGTGATACTGTGGCTGTCTTCATTTTGAATCAAGTTTTTTCATGTTTGTGGGGATAAAATTAGCCATGACTGAGCATCAGAATTTAAATGTTTGTGTTGCTTTAATCTTAATTTAGACTCATGCATCAGATTCCTTTGGTTTTCAAAAAAAATGAAAACAATCCCATTATCCCACATCAGTAGGTTTAAGCCAACTTTGCGCTGGGGATATTATAATAAAAAATTTTCAAATCCCCTATTAGGCCTCACGCTCAAAATCGAGCTCAAATAGAGCTCAAAATTGAGCTTGAATCGAGCCTGAATTGAGCTCAAGCTTGAGTTTTAATTGAGTTCTTGAAATTTTTTTGAGTTTGAACCTTTTCAAGTTTGAGTTAATTTTTAATATTTTATTTTGAGTTTGAACTGAGTTTGATAATTTTTAGTTTATGAGTTTTCAAGTTTCAAGTTCGAGCCTTTTCGAGTTCGATTCAAGTTTTAATATTTTATTTTGAGTTCGAGTTGAATTTGATAATTTTTAGTTCATTAGTTTTCAAAGTTGAGTCGAGCTTATTTTTACAGTTTTTGTTTACACCCCTATATATATATATAAACACCTCTAAAAACTAATAATGTTAGAACCACATAATTTTATTAAAAAAATATATTAATTAATCAATAAATTAATAATTTAGAAATTTAGAAATTTTTTTATTCAAAAAACTAATATTATTATTTTTTAAATAAAACATATATTGTATTAATTAATTGAATGATGTTCATGTACAATGTGACTAATTAAATATAATATATACCCCTAAAAACAAAGTTCTTTGTAGTACATAGTACTAATTAAAACTTAATACAAGTTCATGTATGGTAAGAAATATGATACAATACATTTACAACAAATTACATGAAAGGAAGTACTCGTATCGATAATAACTCTTCATAATTTTTTATTGTAGTATCAGAATACAACATCGAAACTTTTGGATGCAGTAAGAAAAGCTAGAGATGAAATACAATTGCATTTAAATTTTAAAAAGAAACAAACAATAGTAGAATCATATTTTATTAAGTTTTCTTAATTATATTATAATTTTATAGAATTATTAATTTATAATATTGAAGGGGCCATAAATTTATATAGAGGTATTTATAAAAATTATTATCTTATTAATTTATAAAAATTATTAATTTAGACTTTTAACTTAAGTCAGGACTGAAAATTAATTATTTTAGAAAAAATATTAATTTACCGAATATTAATTTATAAAGGTTAAACTATACATGAGATTATAATACCAAAGAATTAAAGTATTATTTAAATATATATTTTTCACTTATAATATCATGTCTAAAATTAATATTTGTCTTCTCAAAAACACATTTTAATAATAATTCTAAAACAATTAAACTTTAAACTAAATAATTTAAAAATAATATTAAAAATTGTTATGGTAAATAATTTGATATCACTTAAGTAACTTTCGAGTTCGAGTCCTTGTGCATGCAGAAAAACTCCATTGGGAGACTCACTCACCAAAATTACATGTGCGACTCAAGTCGATTCGAATTAGTTAAGGCATTGAAAATTTGAAAAGCAAAAAATATTTTTCAAAAATATTTTAATAACATACTCTTTTATTAAAGAAAAACAATATTAAACCGACCTTAAAACCCAGTCCACAATTACCTAAACTCATGTTTAAAACTATTAAATATATTTTCTTATATAAAAGAGAAATTATAAAATCCAAAACCCAAATGCAAGATAACTAGTATTTAAATTACATAATCTCGAATAAGAAAGAAAAATCTAAGGACATCTTATCAAATACAAATGCTTTCCCCTTTCATAACTAAAGTTTCTAGGGTAAATTATACATTTAGTACCTAAATTATCAGTTTTGATTCATTTTAGTATTTAAGCTTTGAGTTTTTTCAAAATTGCACCTAACATTTAGTCTTTGATTCATTTTAGTAGCCGACATTAAAAATTTAATGTGTTTAGTATATAAACTATTATTTTTGGTCCGTTTTAGTATCTAAACTTTTGATTTTTTTTTCAAAACTTAATGTTAGATTCTGAATAGGGGTACTAAAACGAAACAAAACTAAACTTTAGGTATGATTTTGAAAAAATTAAAAATGTAAGTACTAAAACAAATAAAACTACTAGTTTAGATACTAACCGCATAATTTTCCAAGTTTCTATTAGAATCATGAAAAGACGAAAATACCTCTTCTACATATTTTTTACGAAGTATACCCTATTAACGGTCAACTTTTTATGGTCAAATTTTACACAATAATTTTTTCCCACAAAACCACACAAAAAATACTAGGAATCATTTTAACTAGAAAAGTGTTATTTTCCAACAATTTGCCACGCGTGGGTGAACGAAACCTAAAAATCTTTACAAATATCGCTGAGTTAGATTGCCGATTCAGACACGAGTTTTTAGCCTTATAAGTTTAAAATACGCGAGGATCCGTCTGCGAAACATGCAGCGAATCTTGAATCTCTTTTACACATCCATATAAAACTTATGACTGGTCTGCTGTGTTAGAAAAAAGAGGAAAAAGAAAAAAAGAGAAAAATAATGGACTTGAGCTTGGATTTAAGTTTTGTTTATGTACCAGCAAGCATATCTGAGTTTCTGAAAGAAGTTTCGAGTATAAAAAATGGGTTCCAAAGATTATTGAAGATTTGTGATTTTGTTAAAAGATTGGAAGATGAGATGAAGAAAATCGATGCCTTTAAACGCGAACTTCCCCTTTGCATGCTTCTCTTGAAAGATGGTATTTTTTTTTTTTTGATTTTTTAACTTCTTTTCCTGGGATTTAATTTGATTACTTTTATGGGATGTTAGGGATCAAGAGATTGAAGGAGGAAGAAATGCAGTGTAAGGAAATGGATGATGGATCAGTGACGAAAGAGTCGATGTTGCCATTGAAGGGAAATACTGAGGAAAATGGAAGGGTAAATGTGGAAAAAAGGAAAAACTGGATGAGTTCTGTTCAACTCTGGACCTCTGATTCCGACAACGTTGATCACAGCAAGAAATCAAACCAAGTTCCAGAACTGAAACTGGTAATTCCAAACTAGCTGTCTGGTTTTCATCTTATTTTATGGAAATTTATTACTTATCTTTTAAAGGGGCATGGATTTGACAGAGAAGTGAAGAAGAAGAAGAGAACCCAAATGAACTTTGTAATGACAAAATAATTAAGGGACAAGTGGATAAGGAAAATTTAGGGCTTTCTCTTATGTTCCCATGTTCTGAATTGGGTTCTTGTAAGCCAATTTCAAAGGGCAATGGCAGTCGTGGAAATGGTCTTCGCCAGTCCTTGTTGTAGACACTCATTTTCGTTCATATTTTTTTATTTATTTTTTATTTATATATTATATAATTTAAAAAAACATTTTGAAAATAAATGATATATAGTTTTTAAAACATTTTGAAAAATATTTTTATATTATATAGTTTTTTAAAACGTTTTTGAAAATAAATATAATATATAATTTTCAAGACATTTTTGAAAATATATATATATATTATATATTTTTTTAAAAACATTTTGAAAATAAATATAGAATATATAATTTTTTTGAAAAACATTTTGAAAACATATATAATATATAATTTTTAAAATATTTTTGAAAATTATATGATTTTTAAAGACATTTTTGAAAATTATATAGTTTTTTAAAATATTTTTGGCAATTTATATATAATATATAATTTTTAAAAGAAACTGTTTTAAAAAATGTATATTATATAGTTTTTTATATTTATTATTATTATTTATTATTACTATTATTATTATTATTATTATTACTTATTTTACTTTTTTTTTTCAGGTCCAAAAGTCACGGCCAGGGTCCAAATCCAAGACACTGGGCCTGAACTAGCCCAGCAGAGGATACGGTTTAGGGTCTGGAAACTCTAGTCATACATGTCACAGGCGGCGCACGAAGGGGGTAACCAAACGTCAAGCCCGAACCGGCCGGCCGGGAAAATCGGGACTGCACCATCCCGAGAATCCCGGCCACGTGAACGTTGAGGGGAACGACCCCGTTATCATCGGAAACGGCCTTCACCGAGGGGTTATAAATACCCCGGTGAGGCCATGCAAAAAGGGAGGAGAACCCATCAAGGATCGAGTACCACACAGTCAAAACACGACCGACCGAGAACAAACAAGGCCATCAACGCAAGAAACTAAACACCAACTACATCAACAGAAAACCCAAACAACCAACAACAGATCGAGAGAAAACCAAACGACAACAGATCAAGAATAACCAACCAAAACCCACATGCAAACATAACACAAAAAGAAAAAAGCAATACGCGTCGAAACCGAGAAGAAACCACCGGAAAAGGCGAAAGGTCTCCGGAAAAGGTAAAAACCCGAAGGGTTTTTCTTTAGATCTACTCCGATAAGGGGGTTGTTTGGGTATTTGAGTGTTGATTTTGGGTTCACGGGGACGTGAGGTTTATTTTGGTGAGGTTCGGGTTTTCATAGGCCGCCGGCAGTGGCGGCCGGCGCGGTGGCCGGAGCGGCGGAGGAGACACGAGGCGGCGGCCGGAAATCGCCTTGAGGAGAGAGGCCAGAGAGAGTTCCAGTTCTCTCGTTTTAGAGAGAGAGACCCGGGTGAGAAATAAGAACAGGGGAGGGGTTCTGGGCCGTTTTTGGTAGATATGCCCCCCCCATGCGACGTCGTTTTGAAGAGGGGGGGTTTTGCTTTTTTTTTATCTGCGGGTTAATCCCGTTTCAGGTCCCCCGTATTTTGTTTCAATTTATGTTCACCCATTTAATTCGAATATTGTCCCCTAATTACATTTCCTTTCAAATTGGTCCCTTTTATTTATTTATTCATTTCTTTTCGTTTTTTATTTCCAATTCCGTACATTTGTTTTTATCTTTTTTTTATATTTATTATTATTTACCTCTTACTATTTCTTTATTTCATTATTTCATTTTTATTTAATTTTTTTTTTCTTATATCTATTTTTTTTTTATTTTTTAAAAAATTTCTTTCTTTTGTCTTCACTAACATTTTTAATTTTGTAGATAAATTCCAACAAATCAAAGGTAAGTAATTCGAATCGAATTTTTTTTTAATTTTAATTTAAATTTCTAGTTTTCGCTTTAAAGACAACCGACAAATTAATTGGTACCGAAAGGGCGATTCAAGGGTGCTAATCCTTCCTTGACCGTAACCGACTCCCGAGCCCGACACGTTTCTGGTACAACGTAGATCAGGTAAGATGGTGTCCGACCCACCTAAATTCGTTTTAAAGTGGTCGGTGGCGACTCCAACCAACTCATTTCAAGTCGAAGCCCAATTCCGGGGCCCAACCGAAAGACGGTTGCGACAGCTTGGCGACTCCGCTGGGGACCGGTAAGTGAGTCAGGCCAGAATTAATTTTCGGTTGTCTTTTTATGCGAAGATTGTAAATTTAAATTTTAATTTATTTATTCGATTCCAATTATTTACCTTTGATTATTTTTCCAAGTAAATAGTTGTACTAACATTTTTTCAATGATTTCAGATTTTCGAAAAGTTTCATCTCAGGCTCTATACCCGAGCTCCGAACCCTTTTAAGAGGGGGTGAAAGCGACGCATTCGTGTGAATTTATTCACCGCATATGCCTAGCAAGTAGCCTTCGGGATTCATATACCTTATGTCTTCGTGTGAATTTATTCACCGTGCGGGCATAAGGGAATGTGTCCCCTCGAGTTTAACTTAGTCCATACAAGCCTGTGATGGGTTTAGGACTAAGGGTCTGGCAAGCCCAAGGGGGGCACCGGCAAGGAGAACTCGAGTACCGTTTTTAGAACCTAAACCGGGAGAGTACAAGGAATTAGAGCCCACCCCGAAACCTCATTCCAAACCCTAGGCTGTTTTATTTCCTGCTTTATTTTCTGTTCAAAGCATGCGAACTAGACAAACATGTGGTTAGGTTTTGTTTGAAATTAGCATGCGGGATAGAAATCATGTCCGGGTAGAAATATTAAGCATGTTCGGGTAGATATCATGTGGGGTAGGACTTTCATTTTTCATGATTATTTTTTATTATTTTTACCTCACTAACTCTTTTTTTTTCTTTTTCTCTCTCATTTTATTTTCATCAATTGCATCATTTAAATGAGGTATTGATCCCCCAAAAAATGTGTTTGTTAAAACATGAATAATCTGTATTAATGGATAAAGGGGTTATAATACAAAGAGATAAAAAACTCAGAAGTCCAACCGTGGTCAAAGAATACTCAAAGGCAAAGTTGCAGGGGCAATACGAGGAAAAGGTCACTGACCCGGTCGCTCCTTTTGAAAACTACAAGAACAAGATGGTAAAACCCTAGCTGAGCTGGATGCCATTACTGACGAATTCAAGAAGCAAGCTTCGGATAGTTTCTCTCGATGGAAGGCTCCAATGACACTTTCATTAGAAACAAGCTCGGTAGAAAGTGAAAGTCGGAGATGCAGTCTTTCGAGATCTTTTTTTGGGGCAAGCATCTCATTATTTGCACATTTTAGCCAGAGGAGCCGGAATGGTTCGACAGGATATTCAACTAGTAAAAAAGACGAATCAACTTGTCAGAAGCTGTACAGGATTTGTACCATCAAAAAGAGTTTTTTTGTCTCTTCAGACATAACACTTTTGTCACCAATAAGGGTTATTCAGAATAACAAGCACATTTTTTGGATCAATGCCTCGGACATTTCATGCATCATATATTTAGACATTTTGCATTTCTTATTTTCTTTGCATTTTGTTATTAACTAACATAAACATGTCTCGAAGGGGGAGCAAATACTGGATACACCGCCTCAAGCGTTGGACACACCCCATCCACATAACACTCGTTTGAAGAAGAAGATGATGGAAGCCAGAATTACACAAATCGAAGAGAATATGTTGAAATTACAGAAAGAGCTAGAAGATAAGATAGACCAGAACAGTCGAAATACTCTGGAAACAATCACAAAGAACCAAGAGTCCTTGGTTGATCAGATCGTTGCCAAGTTAGTTGGCCTACAACAGACCAGTGCGCCCGGGGCAGGTTCATCGGAAGGGGTAACTATACAACCTACCCCGCAAGCGGTTATCTCACCTGAAATCCTACCAGAACTTCGAGGGGACTCATCTGCGGCAAAAGCAAAGCCCTCGTCCTCTGTATTTAACCCTAAGAACAATCCGGGTTATTACCATGTACCGGATTTGGACGAAGAGGACAAAGCAAAGAAGATGGAGGAAAAAATCAAACAATTGGAAGACCAAATGAATATAGTCAAAGGAGACCGTGACTACCATGAAATCGATGCAACGGAACTTAGTCTAGTCCCGGACTTGGTTCTTCCCCCGAAATTTAAGTCCCCGGAGTTCGAGAAGTTTGACGGGAACAGTTGCCCATCCGCTCACATCACCATGTTTTGCCGAAAGATGACAAGATATGGAGGAAACGACCAACTCCTGATCCACTGTTTTTAGGATAGTCTGTCGGGCTCAGCCATTCGGTGGTACAACCAGCTCAGCCGATCAAATATCAAGACGTGGAAGGACCTGGCCAAGTCATTTCTGGAACAATACAAGCATAACAATGATATAAGGCCAGATCGAGTTATGCTACAAAACATGGAAAAGAAGCATAACGAAAGTTTCAGGCAGTACGCACAAGAATGGAGGGACTTGGCTGTGCAAGTTCATCCACCGTTAGATGAAAAGGAAACCCGGAAACTTTTCGTACAGACTCTGAAGGCTCCATACTTCGGGCATCTGGTGGCGATCACATCATGAAGCTTTTCAGACTTGGTTATGGCCGGAGAAATGATTGAGTCGGCCATAAAGCAAGGCAAGATTAAGGATGGGGAAGCCAGTAAGAAGCCTCCTATGAGGGAGAGGGATGGAGAGGTTAACAACATCAAACATTTCAGCAAAGGTGTCACAATCTCCAGCCCAAAATCAACTGCAGCTGTACCATCAGGTACTTCTAAACAAGATTCCATGAGGGAAAGGGAACATTTCGACCCTATTCCCATGACCTACAAAGAGCTTTATCAGCAACTTCTTGACACCCATGTGGTGTCACCATATCCAGTAGAACCAATGAAGCCCCCATACCCCAAGTGGTATGACGAGAATGTGTATTGTGAATATCATGGCGGAGTCCCAGGGCACACAATTGAGAACTGTTACGCATTCAAGAGTGTCGTACAAAAGATGCGCAACCAGAACTGGATCGACTTCAACAACTTGGGGGCATCCAAGTGAGGAATATCATTTCATCATTTGAGGCATTCTGTTTGACTTTGTTTTTCTTCCATTTTTTTCTCAAGTTTTTGTAA